ATATAATTAGTTAAGTATTGAGTCTTACTGTTAATGATATTAAAGCCAATACAATTAGAGAAGATTTAACTTTAGCAAAATCAATTAAAAAATTTGTTTATAAATTAATTAGTTTATATTTAGAATAAGAATAAGGATAACTTAGAAATGAAATATAAAATGAGGATTAAATATAAGAATACTATTCTTAAGCATTAATAATAATGATAGATGATATGTAAGATACTGATGATGGATCATTATATCTTTTAAAATCTATACTTAAAAATTTTTAAAATATATTAGTTATTGGTTGTATTAGAAATAAATTTAAGGAATTTTCATTTTTTTATAATAGTAATAATTAATCTGAATGTTAATCAGAATTTTTAAATAAAATGATTAAATAGCAATAAAATAATATGACAATAAATTTAAAGGGTTTAAAGTAGATTGATTAATTGTAGGATTTATTTGAAAAATATTTCAAGATCAAATCTTTTGTTTGTATGGAAGAAGATTAAAAAAATTAAGAATAAACTATGTTTGCACGTAGAAAAAGAACATAATCTATAGATGATATTTATGAAATGGTTGAATTACTAAAAAAAATTAGAGATCCATTAATGTTTTGGGAGTCAAAGCCTGAATTAGAAGTGATGGATTTTAATTCTGTATGTATCAATTATTTATATGTGATAACATGTGGTCATCCATTAAAAATGATCTATTTAATGAAACATTTATTAGAAAATCATTATATAATATTAGATGAATAAAGAAATTTAGGAATGGCTTCAAAAAAGTTTCGTACACTTATTAAACATGAAGAATGGTTAGATATTGATACTCCTTTAATGGCTGTTTAAATTAATGGTCCTTATATTGATAAATTAACTGCAATATAATAATTAATATTAAAATAAGCTTGTGTAATTGGAGATATATTTGATATATAGACATTAAATTATGTTAATCCATTTAAAGATTTTATTAAATAAAAACTATTAATAAATGAATTAAATTCTCTTTATGAATAAGGTCTATTAGATATAATGAATATGGAAGTTGAAAATATTTATTATAGATTTTCTTATTCATTTTTTAGAGAAACAATTTATTAGAGAATGACTTATGCATAAAGAAGATAAGCTCATAAAAATGTAGCTTTGGCATTATAGAAAATTCCTTAACCATTTGATTATCATAATAATAAAGAATATACAAGAATGTAATATCATTGGACATAAGCATAAAATAGAAATTCAGTTATAGTAGATGAAGGTACTTTATTACCAAAATTGACACTTTTTGAAAAGAAATAATTGATAATAAAAAAGATTAAATAATTATTAGATTAAAATAGAAGAAATGTACTATTGAAATCTGGATATATTAATAAAAGATCTGAAAAAGGTTTATAATGGAATTGGAGGTTTTGTGTAATATCAAGTGAATGTTTAATGTAAATAAATTTATCATAAATTTAGTGTTTCGTAAGAGGATGATAATCCTGAACATATTTTAACTGTTTATTTAAAACATATTCAATTAATAGAGAGAGAGTTTAACTCTTAATATTTTACTTTAACAATTACTACTTCTTAATGGAGTAGAGGAAATTAAGTATTTGAAAATTATAGAAAAGTTTATTTTGCACTTGAAACAGAAGATGAATTGAATGAATGGGTTACATATTTAGAATTTGCAAAAGCTTATGCTATTTATATGGATTTTGTAAATAATTTTGGGAGAATATCATTTCCATTATCATCAAATGAATATGATTTTTAATTAAAAAGCGAATTATAACATGATAATAGAAGAATTGCAAGATTAGGTTTGATAGATTCTAATATGGGAATTGAGAAAATGTAAGTAAGACATACTAAAGCATCTACAAGTAGACCTACAATGTAAAGAAAACATAAACCAAGAAAGTCAAGTTTGTTTGCTGATGGATATAGAGGAAGTACTTCAAGTTCTTAATAGAATACTTCATTATGTATGTTGATTTTATAGTATAATATAGAATAGCAGAAAGGATATGATTAATCAGAATTAGTATTGAATATTAAGACTTTACTATTAAATGCCTAGTTGTAATTATTAGCTCTCATTGTGAATAAGGCTACTTGTTAAAAATAGATTATTTTGGGATAAAAACTCTTTTGAACTTATATTATCAAATATATATATATTTATTTATTAAATTTTATAAGGCGGGAAATGGAACAGAGTAATTTATTGAAAATGTTGAATTATGCAAACATACATTTTAGAAAAGATGGATTAAGTAGATTCAAAGAATTACATGGATAATATATTGATAGAACACTTCCTGAAAAATTTGTTTATTTTGCAAAAGAATTAAATTATGCATATATAGAAAAAGAATAAGTAGATAAGATAAGTGAGATGATTAAATAAGGAAAATAATCAAATTCTTATGATTAAGTTACAATATTATAAGAGAGAATAAGAAAATCAATAATTATATTAGATTATTTTGAATTAGATAGATTTACATTTTAATGTACACCAAAGGATAAATATAATATGTAATTAAATAGATTGGCACATATAACATCATTGTTGAGATAAGATACTCGTTATGTTTTTGGTTATTAAAGCAATGATGAAATTTCAATTAGTTCAATTGGTACTGCAAATGGTTCAACAGATAAAATTTATTATATATTAGGGTATAGTATTATTATAATAAAATTAGAATATTAATATAACTTGGAAATAATTATTATTTGAGTGATGGAGATGATAAAATTAAGATTAATTTATAAAATGCTCATAATAAGAGCTTTTTTAAAAATGACAATCCTGAATAAGTGGATATTGGATTAGCAAATTTGGGAAGTATATTGATGATGGTTGGAGAATGGAATGATCATCATGGATATTTCTAGGTCACAAACTTTACTATTCCATTTGTATAAATTTATAATTTATTATTAAGTTTAATATAAAAAAGAAAATTAAATCACAAATGAAAAATTCAGACTTAAAAGAAATTTTATAAATAGACACTTTTGGAGTTTATAAGAAAATCTTAAAATTTAATTCGAATTTAGAATATTAAACAATTGAAAGATAGAAAAGTTTAAATATTTATTTAAAAGATGATTTTGATAAAATATGGATTTTATCTAATTTTAGTTTAGAAAGCTTATTATCTATTCAATTATTTGAAAATTTAATTCAGTAATCAATAGAATATAAATTAATGCCTCCTGGAGCTATATTTTTTATGGGATAGTTTTCTAGTTAATAAATTCCAAATCATGAATCATTATATGGAAATGAATTAGTAAAGGTTGTTAAACATTTTTCTGAATATCTACAGAAAACTTTATTATTTTTTATTCCTTCATATAATGATTTTCCATTAGCATATTCTATGCCAAAAACACCTATTAATTTATCATTATATATAAAGGAACCTACATAAATGATGCATAGTTTAAGTAATCCATGTAGATTATCAATAAAAGGATTCAATATTATTATTGTTAGAAATGATATTTCAAAAGAAATAAGAAAAAATCATATCCAATCTTTTTAGGCTGGACATGAACATTTATGTGAAACTATATTATCTTAACAATATCTGGGAACATTTTAGAGTAATCAAGTTTGTTATAAATGGAATTATGATTCTGCTATGTATCTTGATCCAAGTGTTGATTTAATTGTATTATGTGATTTAACTGCTGATTAATTCAAATATCAAACAATAATTAATGACACATAAGTCATGAATCCAGGTAATTTTTAAAAACAAGATTTTGGATAAATAAGTTTTAATAACAAAAAATAAACAATATCTTGTTTTACCTCTAATTTGAATTAGAAATGAATTTCTTATTTATATTTCAAAAATCCCTCCAATATTATTATTTTATTTTTATGAAATCAAAACAATATACTCTAATTTCAATTGAAGGCAATATTGGATCTGGTAAAAGTACTTTACTTAGATTAATGTAATAAAAATATACAGATGTAATTATATATAATTAATCATTTTTTAGTTGAGATTTATACCAGAACCAGTTAATGAATGGTAAAGCATAAATGGAGATCCCTCTTTGAATTTATTAGGTTCCTTTTATGAGGAGCCATAAAGATGGGCTTACACTATGCAAGTTTATGCATTTTACAGTAGACTTAAACATTGGAAAGAGGTTTTATCTGATCCATTAAATCCTGAAGATAGACATCTCATATTAAGTGAAAGAAGTATTGAAGCTGATAAAGAAATATTTGCTGTTAATGGACATAAAAATGGAATGATAAATAAATTAGAATTTGCTTTATATGAAAAATTTTATGATTGGCTATGTGATGAAGTGTTTGGAAAAAAAATCTAAAAGCAAATGATCATATATTTACAAGTAGATCCAGATGTCTGTTATTCAAGGATGTAAAAAAGAGCAAGAGATGAAGAAAAAGTATTACCGCCATTTTTATTATTTTAAAGAATACCATTTCAAAAGAATATTTGACTTAAATCCATAATAGACATGAAGAATGGTTATTAAGGGAAACTCATTAAAATACATCCATACTAGTACTAAATGGAGATTAAGAATTTGAGAGTGATCTCGTTCAATAAAATAAAATGTTTAACACTATCGATTAATTTTTACAAGAATTATTTTGAATTTAATTAAATTATTTATATATTTTTATTAGTTACAAATAAATATTGTATATTGTGAATTTCCATTAAATAAATCTAACAAAAAATGTTAATATATAATTGTTGTTTAATTATAAATTACTATATTATGAAGTAAGATATAATCAATTTACACAAAATATTGTATTTTTATTTGTTTATTTCAATTATAAATTTTGAAAATCCTTTTATATTAATTAGTTGAATAATTATTTATCAATTATTTTAAGATTTTTATATCAATTTAATTATAGAGCCATATAATACTAATTAATTTAGTATATCATATATAATAAAATCAGAATTAAAAGATTATCAAATGGTATATTATTTTATATTATGATTTTTCATTATTCTTATTCGTAATGATTGGGTGGATTTCCTCCTGGCTAATATACTGGACTATAAGTTGAATAGATATTTTGGGATGTCTAAGGAGATCCAGTTTGACCGCGACCACTTCCAGTGTTTGTTGGCGACAGAGGTGAGTTATATATACTACTAGTATAATTTGGACTAAGGAGATATAGAAATAGAAATACCTTCTGGAGGAATTTAAAACAGGACTTGAAGATCTTTGGCCAGAAGTAGCTCTCTCGCTGCTTCTATAACTTGGACTTGGGGAATTAGTATGACTAGTGTAATGAGGTGATCCAGGACTATGACTATCGACAACATTAGCTGATTTTACTAGTTGAGCTGATTATCCAGATATAGAATCACCAGGACTTATTTGATATGGCTCTTATGGCATAAGAGGAGTGTTAGGGTAAAATGGAGAACGATGACTTATCTCTGGAGTATATTCTCTATTCATAGGAGTAGCAAAGTAGCCTGGAGATTTTTGTGGATATGGAGTAGTATAGGGGGAACTGATATGGGATTGGGTAATACCAGGTCCTGGAGTATTAAGCATTAGAGGTGTTTATTGATTTTAATCATAGGGAGATTATTCAGCAAGATACTCGCCTCCTTAAGTGAATTTATCAGCATGACTAGATTTCAATTTGAATTCCTTAACATTTTTAGCATTGACCATAAGTTCAAAGCTACCAGTTCCATGTGGACATAATTATCCAAAGATGATATTTTCACTCAATCCTCTCATATGATCAACTTCAGAGAAAACAGCAGCATCATATAATATTTCAACTGTTTCTTCAAATGAACTTTTACGAAGAACACTTACTTCAGGTATTCTGTTTATACCATTTCTGTTGACAGCAGTTAATCTACCTCTATGAGTCATCCAATCATATAATAAATAAAGATGTCTATAATTGATATAGATACCATAATGATTGAAGATCTTTCTTGTTTCTCCTACTAGAGCAGCTCTAGCAGCTTCTATTCCCAAAACTTATGATATTTCATAAACATCATCTGTTGTAGTTCTTTTTTGATCAACATGTTCTAATCTTAGAATTTCTTTTAGATTAGTTCCTTCTGTTTCTAAATATTTTTCAATAATTTTCCATTTGCCTTTACCATCAATATTAGCTTATTTTAAAAATCCTCCAGTTTTGTTATTAATATAGAATTATTTTTCAATTTGTGAATGAAGTATTCTTGTAATTTTACTAATTCCTCCTAATGAATATCCTCTAATAGTTTCTTCTAATCTTTTTAATATAGTATAAGGAGTATCAACATATGTTTTAGTTTTATTTTCTTCATCAAAAGCAATTTCATCATCAAAATTACCTTTTCCTCTTTCTGGTTTAAATTTTTTGTTATCATCATAATTATGATAATATTTAATTTAAATATATTTATGATTCATAGAATCTGGATCAACAATTGTATTTTAAGAAGATATTCCAAATTTCTTTTCAGTTTCATCTAAAATTTTTGGAATGCTATCTCTAATTTTATCCCAAGTTTCTAAATTTGATAAAATCTTTTAATGATCCATATGTAAAAAGAGTATCCATTTATATTTTGCTTCATCTGTATCAAAAATACCATCAGTAAAATTATCTTCTTAATCTTCAGTAATATGTAATGGATTATTAGGATCAGTTTAATAATAAATTTCACTCTTTATTATATACTATCCAAATGTTTAACCAAGAATTCTACCTTACATTTATACTAACATACTCTAAGTAAAATCATCTTATTTATGAGGATGAGCTAATTATTCTGTTTTATAATATGCTTTTTTATCTTTATCATCTTTTAGTTCTAATTCAGCATATTCTAAAGGAGGATCAAAATAAATTGTTAAACTTGGAGTCTTTGTTTTTTTACTTGCATCCAATAATTCTTATAATCTAGGAACACCCAAAGTCACATTTTTATCACCTGTAACACCAGATTTATGAAAAGTATTTAAAGTCATTTGAGTAGTAGGTTCACCTAAAGATTAAGCAGCTATAGCACCTACTGCTTCTCCTGGATGAGCCATACTTTTTTTTAATTTATAAATAATTTCAGATATTAATTCTTAGAATGCTTCTGGTGTTAATCTATGTCTACAACATAAATCTTTACTAGCTAATGATACTTTTAAGTGACTTCTAAATAAATTTATACAATCTTTTCTTTCTTCTAAATCATAACTTAATAATTTATCTACTTTTTATATTAATTCATCAACTTATTATGTAACATAAATTGGATTTAATCTACATTTTTCTCTATCACTAATTTTTTTATTTATTTTTATTGTTGAAATAATTCTTTCAATATTTACAACCAAATAATAATGAGTAAATAATTCCTCTTTTGGAGCAGAATCAATCAAAAATAATCTACGTAATTCATTTCTAATCTTTTTTATTTCATCAAATTCTCCTTTTAATAATGCTTGACCTTCAAAATCTTCTTCAATATCTTTTATTACATCTTCTGTTAATATATTTTAATATTTCTATCTAATTTCACTACCAAACCATTATTCCTTAATTAATTCATATTTCTCTTCCAATTAAACATCACTTAAATTAACACATTTAATTTCTTAATGTTCTATAAATTCTGCAGCCATTTTATCTTCACCATAATGAAATTAATAAACTGCTCCTACTGAATCTCTACATGATGAATCATATCTAACAAATACATCTTCTACTGCTTTAATCAATTTCCTTTAAATATATCCAGTTCTACTTGTTTTCACAGCAGTATCAATAAGACCATCTCTACCACCCATAGTATGGAAAAAGAATTCAGTTGGTTTAAGTCCTTTAAAAAAATTACTAGCCACAAATCCTCTTGCTTCAGGACCATAATCAAATTTAGAGAAATGAGGTAATGTTCTATAAGCAAAACCAAATTAAATTCTTTTTGATTCTAAATTTTATTATCCTACCAAAGATGTAATTTATGCCAAATTTGATGCTTCTCCTTTACTTTTAGCCCAAATCATTTTATACATACAATTACGTATTTGATCTATAGTTTCTGTAACTTTTGAATTGATATCATCTCTCACCTTATTCAATTTCATATTAAAAGAATATTCAAATGAATCCATAATTCTCTTACCCTTTTGATGATATCTATTATCTTAAATCTTCTTTGCATCTAAAAAGATTTACAATAATTTAATATATTCATCATCTTATTCTTTACTTCTTTTTTCAGTTTCTGCAACTAAATTTATATGAGGAGCTATATCTTAACATCCAACAGTAAATGAATGCATAATCAACCAATTATTCACAATTCTTTAACAAGATGTCATAAATTCCAATGTCTTTTCAGCTCCTAAATCTAACCAACAAAGATGCACAACAGAACCAGCACCCTATCCTACCAATTCTTTATTGAAAATTCCACTAACCAAATTTCCTCTCTATATACACAAACTCTTATCATCTGCATTCCAATTAGGTTTTCTAAGATCATCTTCTCTAATACCTCTTTCAGTATTTATAGATTATGGAATTATCATAGACATAATTTATTTACCTGACCATAATTCTTAAGGTTTTAATATAGCAGGCATAGGTAATTCTCCAGTAAATTATTCATTCCACATCATCAAATGCATAACTTAATCTTTAGTTAAAAATGTATCTCTTTAAGTAAATAAACAACATCCAAGTAAAGAATCCTACACAATACCCATAACTGGTTAATTACTCTTTGGTGTTACAATTTATCTAGGAACATGTGCCAAATATTTCAATTCTGCTATTGTTTCATATGATTGAGGAACATGCATATTCATTTCATCTCCATCAAAATCTGCATTATATGGTGTACACACAGATAAATTCAATCTAAATGTTGAATAAGGTAAAATCCTAACTCTATGTCCCATCATACTCATTCTATGTAATGTAGGTTGTCTGTTAAATAATACAAAATCACCATCTTATAGACATCTCTCCACTATAACTCCTTAATTAATTTTCTATCTAATCTATTCTTCAGTATCTGTAAAATCAAAATACAAAGCTTAAAACTTTCTTTATTTACTTCTTGGATCTGTTATAGGTACTATCACATATTTAATTTTGTTAGTCTTTGCCAATTAAATTACTCTTTCTAAATTGTATTCTGTCACTTCCTCTGGAATTGTTAATTAATCTGCCACTATTTATGGTACTCCCAATTCATCCATCCCCAAATTTGCATCTGGTGATATAACTGAACGAGCACAAAAATCTACTCTCTTACCCATTAAATTTTATCTAAATCTACCTTCCTTACCCTTCAATCTTGCTCTTATACTCTTTAATGGTTATGTTGATTTCATTTTTATCTTTCCAGCCTTCTCTGAATCAATGATCTTAGCTACTTCTCTCATTAATTCTGGAGCCAATCTTACTTTCTCTGCTTCACTACTACAATTATTTATTTCATTGTTCTTCTATAATATTGATTTATATATTTAAGTATATTAATCTTATGCAATCCTGGCTGGATTCATTTCTATTGCTGGTCTCACTTATGGTGGCATAACTAATAAATATTTTATTATTAAATCTTAAGGTCTTGAATCTTTTGTAAATCCTAATATGATAGCATCTTCATCTTTAATCTTTTTAAATATCTCTAAACATCTTTCTGCTGTTAATTCCTTTGCCGCCTCTTTTGTATTATATTAAATTTTTATTTATCCATTTATGGCTTAAATTCTAGTTGGAATTTTCTCTCCACAAAACTAATCACTCCCTTAATTCTCTTCTTATTTATGTTTACTAGCCTCACATTTCTCTATTCTACCCAACAATTTCACTATTTCATTCAATCTCTTACGATTCAATTTATGTTCCTTGGCCTTCTAAAATGATAACTATTTTTCATAAGATTGATATATACCCAAGCATCTTCTGATTGTGGCTATCTCAATTTACCACAACTGTGACAGATACACTTCAATACCTTCTTTACTATCTGCAAGAATCCTACATGATATACTGGCTTATTCAGCTCAATTCTTCCAAAATGTCCTTGACAATATTTAGTCTCTCCACATGTCTTACACTTTTAAGAATTCGTATTCACGCCCATACGAAGGTCATTTAAACCATTTTATTTTGGTGTCCCATCAAGCTCGTTAGTTTGTAGCTCCTTTATTTCTATCTCTCCTGTCCATTCCTTAATGAGATCATGACTCATTAAGCCAAATTCAACTCGTCTGACTTTAGCAATTGGAGCAGTAGAGTAAGTGAAATCAGCGCCTGATTGTCTCATAATTAATTTAATTAATAAATAAAAATTTTTACCTATTCTTCACTTCATTAATTTAAATTAAAACCAGCCAAAACATTAAGAATAAATTAAAATTAATTCTAATTCATTTCTCACTCCTCCCCCCATCATCTTACCACTATATCTTTTCTATTCCTTATTTATTTTCTAATCCTATTTTATAATTTGTTTAAATATTTCTATTATAGAAAAATAAGATTAGATAATTAGTTTAAAGTAGAATTAAATAATTTAGTTTATAATAAATGAAGTTACTAAATGTTGCCTATTCTTTAAAAAAATAAATATAAAGCAAATCTATTCTATCAATTATAGACTCTTTAGTACAATTTTTTTAATATATTATTAAATTTATAATAATTTATTCAAAGAATATAGTAATCTTTAAAAGGATAAATAATATATGACTATTGTAGAATATTAAAATAGATTCAGTTATTTATTTTTAAATCTATTCTTGATTATTTAATTTTAAAAAGATATGGGTTATATTCTTATTATCTATTCAATCAAAATATTATTTTGATTTTCTTTATGTTACTTTTTGTAAATAATAGATCTATAAAAAATTAATTTAAGTAATATTGTTAAATTAATTTTTAAGATGTAATCATACTTTTTAGATGTAAGATTTAATAGATTGATTGATTTGTTTTATAACTTGTAAATTCAATTTAAGTTAATCTAAAATTGAGTTAAAGTTAATCAGCCAAATTAAAGAAATGATAAAATGATAAAATTATGATATAAATATAATTAAATTATGGAAACAGCTAAAAAGCTCAAGTTGAAATCATCAAGATTCTTTGAAAAAGAAATGAGCTCAAAAGCATAAGAATTAATAGAAGAAATAAAATTAAAAGATAGAAGTCACTTAAGATTGAGAGAATGGTATAAAAGAAATCATTATGAAAAGAGTCTTAAAGAATTGAGAAAATAATATGAAAAGTAATAACTAATTGATTTAGATATTTTACAATAGCTAAAGTAGATGGTCGCACATTCACTTCAGAACAATTTGTGAATTAATTTGAGATTCCAGACATTCCTTGTATAATAACCAATACAACAGATGATTGGAATGTTGATAAATATTGGACTTTTGAGAAATTATATCAACTTTATAAAGAGACCTGCTTTAAAATTGGAGAAGATGATAAAGGAAGAAAGTTAAGATTACCATTCAAATATTTTCTTGAATATTTAGTATACAATAAGGATGATTCTCCTCTTTATTTATTTGAAAGGTATATTAATCTATAATAATTTAATAGTTCAGTTGAAGATATGAAGGATGGAGGAGCAGATATGATTGGAAGATACAAATAACATAAATATTTTAAAGAAGATTTCTTTTCTATGGTAGGAGAGAAACATCGTCCTCCTTATAGATGGTTTTTGGTTGGGTAATGTATTATTTAATTAATAGACCAAAACGATCTGGTACTACAGTTCATATAGATCCATTAATGACAAGTGCATGGAATACATCACTATAAGGACATAAATTATGGGTACTCTTTCCACCTGATATACCAAAATCAATTGTAAAAGCAAAAGGACTTGCTGCAAAAAAGGAAATTGATCCAGAAGTATTGGATGAATCTATAGATTATTTTTTTTATGCTTTGCCAAAATTAATTGAAAAAGAAGGAGCTGATAATTTAAAGATTATAATGTGTGTATAAGGTCCTGGAGATACTATATTTGTACCTGGAGGTTGGTGGCATGCAGTCTTAAATTTAGATAATTCAGTTGCTTTAACATAGAATTTTATGTCAATCAATAATTTTGATAAGATTTGGAGGTAATTATTATAGAATAATAAAATTTAGATCTGTAAGAGACGAAAGGCCAAAGTTTAGTCAAAGATTATTAGAGGCATTTAAGGAGTAAAGGTCCGATTTGTATGAAAGAGCACTTAAATTAGATGATATAGACAAGAACGAATTTAGAGTGCTAAATGATGCCAATCCATTGAGTTCCGATGATTCATCTGGTAGTTCATCATCTAGTAGTTCAAGTAGTTCGTCTAGTAGTTCCAATTCCGATGATGATTGATTAAATTTATATTAATAATAATTTTTATATTATAATATTTTTAATAATATAAGAACTTTAATTTTGATTAATATTTTTATATAATTTCATATGAATTTTTCATTCATTTTACTATTGGGCTGGCATAGGGTACTTAAGTTCATATTTAAATTAAATCTTTAAACCACCAAATGCTTTTCTCAATTCTTCGAAACCTTCTACCCATTATTTTAATTAATTGCTCCAGAACTCCTAAATCTTTTTCTTATTTTCAAAACTTTTTTATTATTATTTTGATAATCTGTCTTCAAGGAGATTAAATAATACTACTAAAGGACTTTCATAAATAAATGATTAGAGGTTTTTCAATTCTGATTCTAATTATCTAATTTTATGAGCTTCATTTCCTTGATTATCAGCTAAAAATTAATTAAATAAATATATACATTTTTAACTTTTTAATGTTTCAATTAATTTAACTAATTAATTATTTTCATTTTATAACATAGCAATTTGATCATTTTTTTATTGTAAATCTTTAATAAGTTTTTCGTCAGAAGGTTAAGAAATACTTCTAACAAGATTAATTTTATGATCCTATTATTTAAATAATTGTAATTGATTAGTTAATTATGTAATTTAAGTATTCAATTTTTCTATTATTTACATATTTTCTCCAAGTTTATTTTAATATTCTTATTCTTTTTCCTTTAATTTTAATTTTGTTTATTAAAGTTCAGCAAAAAGATTAGCTATAGATTATTCTGATTTTGTTAATAAATTTTAGAGTTACAAAATCTTTTCATTTTACATACTTATCTAATGAGTTTAACCTTTAATTTGATTTTTATATTCTTCAATATCTTTTGTCATTTTTGTTAGTTCTGGTTTATAATCTTTACTCATGACAGAATTTTAAAGATTTTAGTTTTTAAATTCTATTAATTCAGAGATTATTTCAGTATTCTATTACAATTATAAATCATATTGTCTCTTTAAATCTTATATTATGTTATCTCTATTTTAAATATCAATTTTATATTAAGCCTGTTTTTAATTAAGTTCATTAGAGATTTTATTTATTTTTTCTTCCAATTATTTAATGACTTTAGATTATACTTCAACATTTTCTTTTAATCTTAATTCTCTTTATAATGCTTAATTAGTGTCTTCTTTACACATGGTTGTAGTTTCTAAAATGATAATACATTTAATATTTACATTATAATTATTCCATTGTTAATCTAAGTGCAAATACTTCAGAATTTAATTGATCATTTCTTTAAGTAGTTTGATCTAATATATCATGCAAATTAATAAGTTCATTTTATATTGATTGTTTTTCTTTCATAGACTATAATAGTTTTAGTTCTCTATCATCTACTAATTCTTTTAATTTAGTTACTAAGAAATTTTAAACATCATATATACCTTCAATTTACAATTATTAATTCTACTTATGTTTTAAATCAAGTAATTCATTCTATTTATTTAGTTAAGTGGCTAATTCTTTATTTTAATCATTTAATTGTTTGATCTCATCCTATAATAATGATGTCATTAAATAATTTACATTAGCTTTTGAAATTTGAGACTTACTCTCATTAAGTTGTATAGTATTTGAATCGAATATAAATTCTGTTTCTTCATCTGAACCACTTTGTACAATATTTTGCATTAATAGAGGTATTAATTTAAATAATGGAATAGATAAAAAATATGAAGGTATTAGAATAATTAGGAAATAATTGTTATAGAATATTAATCTAAAATTAATAAGCTTAATTGGATGTTATATCAAAAAGAATGGTTTTAGCTAACAAATCCTATTTATAACTTAGAAAATGGATAGAAATTTAATATCATATTAATCATCCTAATGTTTAGAAATTATACTTTTATTGTCATGATTAAGAATATGTATATGTTATAAGAGAATATATGCCTAAAGGTTCTTTATTGAATTGGATTAAGTATGGAGATATTGATGAAGAACTTTTGAACTCAATTGCTAACTAATTATTTAGTGTGTAATAATATTTAAATGAAAATCAATTATATTTAGATTTGTAAATTAATAATATCTTTTTTGATGAAAATAATAGAATTAAAATATCAAATCTTGAAGATATAGAACATAAGAGTAAGAAAATAAATAACATTTAATAAATTGGTTTAATATTGTATGAATGTATCTTTAAAAGAAAATGTAGATTTGATTATGTGATGCAAAATGATTAAGTAATTAGATAACCAAGAGTTCTAATAACATAAGAAATTAAAGATAGTGTTCTAAAACTGTTATAAGAATATATTAAATGAATTCATAATAATATTACTGTTAAAATTATTAATTTTTTTGATACGCATTTTCTATCTTTACATATAACACTTATAATTTATAACAAATTAATTAAAATATATGTAATTTATTGATTCATATTTAATGGACGATTTTCATTAGAAGTTCTTAAACTTCTTTTCTGAAGTCAAAGGAATCAAAAATATTAGATTTAATTGTATTAGAGATGAATTCAATATAAATATTGATACTTTTCCTGAAGATTAAGAAGTATTCAATATTCAGCAAGCAAATAAACTTAATCTACAATCTTAACCTAATAAACCCAAAAAAAATTGGACTGATGATGATAAAAAGGTTCTTATATGGTTAGTGGGTAAATGGGTTGCATAAAATTAAAGAGATATAGACTTAATAGTATAAATTTAATAGTCTATCTAAGAGCGATTCTGATTGGAATGTTATTGCAAGTATGATGCCTCGTAGAGATTCATTTGCTTGTAAGTAAAAATGGTTACAAATGTTCAAACTTCCTTTGTAATAGGCTCCTTGGACACCAGTTGAAGATAATATATTACAAACTATTATTTAAGATTTTGAAAATTAAAATAAAGGAAACCAATGGAGTTAAATGGCCTAGATTCTTAACAAAATAAATAATTAATAAGTTCATAGAAATGGTAAATAATGTAGAGAACGTTGGAATAATCATCTTAATCCAAATATCAATAGGTACAGTAATTAATTATATATATAAAAGAAATCCTTGGTAATTAAGTGAAGATTTAGATTTAATGTGTTAAGCTAAAAAGTTAGGAAAGAAATGGGCTTTGATATCTAAAAAACTTAAAATTGCAAGAAGTGAAAACAATGTAAAAAATCGATTTAATTGTTTAATAAAAAAAGAAAGAAACAATAAGTCTGGATAAAATTTGTTAATAATTAGAAAGAAAAAAGAAAAAGATGAAATTAATTCTTAAAAATCATCTATTTCAAATTTACAATCATCTGAAGAATTAAGTCTCGAAGAAATTAAACTGATTAATATAATCATTAAAAAAATTGAATGCCGTATTAATTAAAATGACAATCTTAGATATAAAAAAGAAAGAAAAGAAGAAGTTAAAGAAGAGAATTCAAAATTATTAAAGAAAGTTAAAGGAGAATAACAAAAAGAATTCTACAAAGAATTTAAAGAAAAAATTTAACATTTTAAAAATATGAAGAGTCTTTAAATTAATGTAATAGATTCTAATCTAAAAGATGATGAAATTACTACTCTTATGCCATGTTTAATTAATTAAGGAAATCATTAAATTTATTTTTCAACACCTGAATAATTTTATATCTACTTGAATTAAAGTAGTGAAACTAATCAATTAGGTATATAATCTGAAAATTATTTTTCTATTCCAAATGGTTAAGGATCTTTTATGTATGATCATAAGGTATTTCAATCTAATGCTATGCTTCAATCTAGGGAATATTATTAGGGTTAACATGGAATCTTCAATTAAAGATCATAGGTCAATCAGAATCATGTAGGATACTGTTCTAGTATTAATAGCCTTCCTTATTAAATTGGTTTATCTCCTTATCCATCACATGCTATTCTAACATATTAATTATAAAAATGATAATATTAAAAATATTATAATGTTTGATAATTTTATTGATCAAAGAATTGCTAACGAAGTAGATTTGTTAAAAAGAAGAAAAGATAGAGTAACTAATTAAAACCAAAAAGATAATTATTAAGAAGATGAAGATGATTTTGATGGATATATACAGTATACTCATATAGAACATCTAAAAGAGTTTAAACAGGTCAGAGTAGGTTTTGAAGGGAAATCTCTTTCAGAATGGAAAAGTGCTTTATATTATTTCATTATTGAATACTAAAATTATCCCATTAAACCTGTGATAATAAAATTTCCAAAAGAATTCAGACACTAATACATAATACAAAATACAGGTATCTATTGTCTTCCCGATCTGAGTGAAAGGTATTAAAATATATAATATATTATTAGAAATTGGAAAAGGTCCACAAATTTAGAATAAATTATTAATAGAGTTATTTAAACATTTCATGAAATTCCAACATATTCTGATTATCCTGTTGATTTAAGTTTTGTATAAATAAGCTTAAATAAAGAAGAATACTCAATCGTTATCAAAACCAATAAGAATTGTGCTTTAAATTATACTAATAAAATTAATGAAGAAAGATAATATCTTGAATAGAAAAAAAAATAACTAGAAAATATCGAGGAGAATTTAAGAAAAAAAAAAGAAGAGGAATAAGCTAAAAAATAAAAAGAGCTAGAAGAAAAGTAAAGGTAGCTTAGAGAAAATGAGTAAAAAGCAATTTAGAATTAACAACAATAACAATTTCAAAAAGAAATATAATAATAATAACATTTTAAAAATTAGAACTAAATTTAATAATAGTAATAATTTGATTAACAATAATTTATTAATAATAGAAATATGAATCCTCAAATTCCCTATCATCCTTTCGTTCAAATGAATGTCTAAGCATAAGTAAATTAAGAATAATAAATGATAAATTAAGGTTTTAATCCAAATTATTAGTAATAACACTATATTATGTAACCCAACAATCAATTTTAACCAACTAATTACGAATAAATTAATTAAATATAGTATCCCTAACCATAATCACAATAAACCGCAAATCCTAAAATTAAAATCATACCTAATTAAAATCCGAATAAGTGAAATCTATAGGTATTTCCAAGTTTTATAAATTATTTACAATCATTTTTTTCTAATATTCTATATTATTATTATATCTTAAATTCATTTTCCAATACAAAATAATAATCATTTTTTATTTTTAATATTATTCTATTAACTTTTACATCATATAGTAGTTCAATTCAAAAGTATAATCTTAAAATTAATCAAAAATTAATGTATCTTTATAATTCTTAATCTTAAGATATAAAAATTCATAATTCAATACATCATTTAATAATATATTATATAAACATGTATGTATATGTATATTTAGAATCAAAATCCTGTTGGGACAATAAAATAAAACCTTTTATTATTTTAATAGAATTAAGACTTATTTTTAAATTGTTAAATAATTTAAATTATTTCTAATAAAAACTCAAAAATAACAACACTTATATCATAAAATAGTAATTTATAAATTTTCCAATTTTTCTAATCTTCTTTCATAATGCATAATAAGATTATTATATGTATAACTATATAACTATATAAATAATCAATTACTCTTTTCCAATTCAAAAATCCTATTATTAAACTCTATATATTAATATGTTATTTATTTATTATTTTTTAAGGTTTCTATTCATTTTGTGAAATTTAATATTTCATTTACTTAATAAAAGGTAATCATATATTTTAATACTTTATTTGGATAAAGATAAAATTTCAATAATTTTAATTATTCTCATCTTCTAATCAAGCATCCTTCAAAGAATTCTCTCTAAAATCTATAGATTAAAAAAATTAATTTAGTATATAATTTTGAGAATAATTATTAAAAATATAAATTATATGGCAAATCTGATTAATTGTACTAATGGATATGTCTGTTTTGAAGGATTAGTAGAATTCTTATTGAGTTTATTCTATTTATTCTATTTAATAATTAGCTACAGGATACTTAGTAGAGATAAAAGTGGAGTTCTGGTTTAAATAGATAAATACTTATGTTTAGCTGCTTTGATTCAAACATTTTTATAAACCATTTATTTTTTATATTTCGGTAATATGGTATAATCTATTAGTTTTAAAGATAATGATTTTTTATTATCAACAATCAGATGTATGGGAATAGCAATGTAAATTATGATTTGCAGTATTCTGGGTGCAATTATAGCTGATGAAGATTAAACACCTAAAGTTTGGTATTTAGCTAGAGCCTTGTTAGTAGGCACTTTATTTTTATGGATTTGGTTTGGTATTTTTCATAGAAGTGCAATAGAGTAATTAATTATATTATTATGCTAGTTATAATTGTGTTTAAGCTGATTATTTAATACTTTCAAGTTTTGGATTGTTTTTAGCTTGTGGAGCATTTTATATGGGTAATTTTGCATTAGAAGGCATGATAGAATATTAGAATACATTGGTTTACTAATTATTGTTATTTTATAGGATGTTGCAAGATCAGGTGCTATTTAAGTTTAATAAAATTCTTTAAAATATGATTAAGTTGTAATGAGAATAACATAAATTCGATTAATGCATTGTATATTTTATTATAATTAGATTGTGGATTATTATAATTTGGAATTTAATTTGCATTTGATTTATTTACTTATCTAAAATGTAATAATTCAAGTGAATGCACTGACTATTATAATGCTACATCATTTCTTATGGTTTTATTTATTTCTTAAATTCTAAGGTTCTACTCTTAACTATTTTCAAATTGATTTCATTCACAATAATTCCTGCTACTATATTTTGGATATTTTATGAAATGAACAAAAATAAATTTTAAGAAGATGATTACAATTCAATTGAAATGAAGATGACTTAATGAAATCAATTATTTTATATTATTAGTTAATATAAACAATATATAACAATTTTAAATAAGATTCAAAAAAAAAATAGTTAATATAATTGCTATAAAATTTCTAGTATCATTTCACCAATGAATTTATTGCATTCATTTTGATTCATGACACTCTAAACTTTATACTCCTTATTAAAAAAGGAATCACAAAAATATTATTATTATTGAATTAATAAATCCCTTTTCTATTTTTCAAAACTAAATAAACAATAAAATTCATAATTTATTCTAAATATGTTTTGTTTTTCATTTTAATTCTCTGATTTCTATCCTCAATTCTTGATTTTATCATATTAATCAATAATAAGTTCAAGATCCTCTGAATTTAAAAGTTTTAATTTTATTATATGTTCATGAATACTGATGATAGATAGGAACTTATATTTTCTGATGGATAATCTAAATCTCTTATTATTCTTCTTTAGATTATTAATTAATATATTGAATAACTAATTAATGATCTAGCAATTGTACTACTTTTTAAAACATCACAAATTAATTTTTCATTTGCAACCCTCTTAGTTAAAATATAAATTTTAGATTCTTATTAAATTATAAGATATTAATCAAAGGTAATAAGATTCTTTAAATATGATTCAATGTCTCGACTCTATTTATTTTCCTCTAACATAAATGGTTTAACTTGAAATAAGAAGTATTAATTTATTATTATTCTTCAGAAGTAAGTTTGAGTATTTATTGACAAAAGTGATCTTATAAATATTTCAATAAAATAGGATTAACATAATTTTTGACTGTCCATTCAACAAAATTAGTTAGGTTATACTTTTTATCTTAAAACCAAAATTTAAAAAATCAACTTTAATCCCCGACTCTATTCCTATAAATTTAAATTAATTTGGTATGGCTAATTCATCACTACTAGAGAATTACAAATTATACAGATCAATAACTATATTTAATAGAACTTTAGCTATTCTAGATAATTAAAGTTTTCTACTTACTTAAATTAATAATTGCAAATTCTTTATCAATATTCACTTAACATCCCCAAATATAAGCTCCCAATGTTTCTACTTTTAAATGAGGTCTTAAACTTAAAGAATAATAATCATCAAAAGCTTAATTAATTTTATTAAATGAATATTTTTCTGATAATCTTGATAATTTGTATGAGAAATGATCTCAAATAATAACATATATAATCAATTATTAAATTATAATCAGAAAAAATTTATTTTTTTTAAGATTTATTCTTAAAGGCTCTAGAAGTTTAATCTAAAAATGTCACAATATATTTAAATTTTCAATATCTTCTGAAGAATATTTTTCAAAATCAAAATGATTTTATAAATTCTACCTTAAATAAAAATTACATATTACTTGAAACTTTGGGCATTTAAAACATTGTTAATTTTAACTTATTTTTAAACTTACTATTTAATTGTAATTCAACATTAAGTATTAAATTCTGTATATATTCTAATCCTGTTTAACAATTTAAAATTCTGATTTTTCCTTCCCATTAAAATATTAATAGATTGATTTATAAAATTGATAACTCTAATTGAGTATTTAGATTCAAATATAAATCTTAAAATAATATCATTAATATTATTTGAAAATGATATAAAGAAACCTTAAAAATTTAGTCTCTGAAACTATTAATTTATGTCCTAAAAGTTAGTTATTATTTCATTTAAATAAAATAATGGTTTAATAAAAATAAAAATTGTAAAAATTAAAGTGATTTATTATTCCCTTATTATTATTCATGTTTATAAAAGTTGGTTTATATTTATGTTAAAATTTGTATAATTCTCAACTAATTAAATGATTTCATACATTTAAAATTCTGGGAAACTATAGCTTTAATTATATTTCTTAGGTTATAATTTAAATCATTATAATCTTCATGTATTAATATTCCTTTCTTATTTATACTCTTAACATAATTTTAATTTTAATAAAAATACTACTTAAATGATAATTGATATCAGAGTTAAATGGAAAGGGATATTCAATATTCATGTTTAATTTCAAATTATTAAAATTAATTAGGTAAATAGTTTATGTTCAAACCACCACTACCAAACCAAAGATTATCAAGTAAAGCCTTAGATTAACCAATGATTCATGTTAGAAGCATAGGATCAAGCCAAAGTAATCGTCTTAACAGAACTTCCAGTGGTTCTCGTCATAGACCTGGATCTAGTTAAAGATCTTTAAGTTTTTCAAAAACAGATCTACATTCAAAATATGGAGTACCATTAGTTACAGCTCAAAATTTTGTAGTAATGAATGGAAATGATGGTATAAATTTGGCAGTAATTCAATTAAATAATTAAGAGAGTTTTAATTCAAAAAAAAGAGTCTAAGTTGCTTCACTTACAAAGTTGATGACATGTTATGTAGCCATCTAATTAATTAGAGATCTAAAGATTAATATATATTAGATAATGTATGTTAGTTATGATGTATATATTTTAACATTTAAGGCTGTTTAAATATCGGGAACTTCAGCATTTTTACGTCCTTATGATAGAATTACTTTATATGATTTGTTACATGGATTAATGTTGCCATCTGGAAATGATGCTGCTAATGTAATCGCTGAAAACTTATCATCATTTATTAAAGACCCAGTTTCTAATATTGCTTTATAATACAGAATATAGCCTTTTATTTCATTAATGAATTAATATGCACTTTTATTAGATATGAATGATACTTAATTCTACAATCCACATGGTAAATTAATTCAATATTTTTAGGATTATCAAATGATCAATCCTTTTCTTGTGCTGAAGATTTGGCCATCCTATGTAAATAAATTATAAATGATCCATTGTTAATGGACATAGTGAATAAAAAAGAACATTAAGCAACTATTTAGAGAAATGTAAATATATATGATTTTTTAGAATAAACTTATAAAATTGACTTGGGAAAATACTAATAAGATGTTAGAATTTGATGGATATTGTGGATTCAAAACTGGATTTACAAATAAGGCTGGTCCATGTCTTGCTACATTATTTAAAAAAGATACAATTTGTATTATAATAATTATTTTGAATTGTCTATCTAAAGAAGTTCGGTATTAAATATATATTATAAATAGATGGGATGATACAATAAAATTGTCAAATTGGGCTTAAAGAAAGTTAAGTATTGATTGAATTATAATTTAATTTAATATTTATATGTATATATATATATATATTAATAATATTATTCATGCAAGCAAGTTTTTAGGTAGAGAATATTCATTCAAAAAATTAATTTCCAAATATTCTTTCATTTTATTCCTTTTGTTCTTTGGACAAATTAGCATCAAAGTTAAGATCTATAAATTAATATATTATTACTCTTTTGGCCACTCTGAACAATTCTTTCATGACTTTATTTGGAAAGAATTGAGAATAATTACAATTATTATCTGAATAAGGAAATGCATCATGTATGAGGAGCATCTTTTAAAATACAAAAAAAATGATACTTTCACTACTTCTGTATGACCATTACTCAATGCATAATAAAGAGGAGATTTCTTATTTTTATCCAATGCATTAACATCAGCCTTAAACCTTAAAAGCATCTTTGTAATATCATATAAACCTTATTAACAAGATATATGCAATGGAGTCATAAGAGAATTATCAACTTCATGAATAAATGATTTATTATATGAGAGATGTTTAAGTAATTAGTGATAATTTTTTTATTTTAAAGCCATAAACATTTATTTAGAATTATGTCTTAAATATGGTATCTTTAATTATGTAATCATGTATTTTTTAGAATATAAAGTATTATTGTGACGATATGAAAAGTTTTATAAAATTTAAAGTTTTGCTTTTTACCATTTATTTGTTTTATAATATACACTCTATTCAAGTTTTGATCTTTATTTTTTTTTAGATTCACTCCATTGCATAGTTTAAGTAGCTAATTTTTATACTAGATTTGAACTATTTTCATTATTTTCAATTTGTTCTGGTTTTATTAATTTTATTAATGGAATTTGAATATTTTAATTATGATCAACACTCATGTATTCAGTTTTATTAATCATTTCACACATCTTTTTATAACTATTAGAACTAATTCCATTAAATTAATTATGTCTATCTTTAATATATTGTATGGATTCATCAATTTTATTCAATCTTTATTTAAAAATTAATCTATTTTCAGGACTTATACGAGAATGATGAAGTGAAGTCTTCAATATTCGACTCTATTTAATCCTACCTTTTAATGGTGATTCAATAATCTTTTCAGGTGAAGAACTTGTATTAAGTGTTTTAATTGAATTAGAAATTAATCCAATATATTAAATATGTTTAGGTTATATGATCTAAAAACGAGACTCAGTTCTTTGTAAATTTAATTGATTTAATTGCTGACTTTATTATTATTAATGTAAGCTATGAGAAAGCATTTTCAAGGTGTTCTAACTTCCTTATAAATGAGAGGATTATTGCTATTTAGTATGAAGAGAGTAAGCATTCCGACTACGAATTCTACTTTGCAACAAGTCCTCCATCATTTTAGTAAATATAATTATAATACTATAATCATTTTCCAAATATTTTAATAAAATCTCTATAAGTTATCTATCCATCACCGTCAAAATCTAATTCAGATATCAATAAATCAACATCTTATGCAACAGTTTAGAATTGATTTGCCTATAAGAAATCAGTAATCTAATTAAATTAATAGTCTTACATCTTAATTAGTTATTTATTGTCTATCATAAGCCAACATATAAAAGATTTCGCTTATGTCAAATTATTATTTGCTTTAATAATCTTTAGTTTGATTTATATTCTATTAAAATTATTCGATCAATTCGAATAATAATTTTAGAGATATTTCTGTTTGCGTTAACATATTTCCCTTATGTTTTTAATCTTTCTTAAGAAGTATTTCCACAGCCTATGGATCATTTGGTTCAACCATTTTGATATACTCTGAAAATCTCATCTTATTATCTTTTCCATAACGATCCAATATTAATTATGGATTTTTACAAAATTAATTAAAATCACTCTTTATTAAAATTCCTTTAAAACCTTTATCTAATTTTTGAAATGAAGAGTATAATGAAAAATCATCATGGTTGCTCAATAAAATCTTTTGGCGTTCAATCTTTTTTATCAACTAGATTAAATTCAAAAAGAGTTAAACATAATAATTAACAGGTTCCAATGATTCATATTTTGCAATTGATTAAGTTTTCTTTAAAGTTTATATTTCATCCTCATAAAAATTTGTAATTGGCTTATGAGTCATTGTTTTATAAGATAGTTCTTATTTTGAGGAATGATTGCTATTCTATAATAATGAATAATGCATTTATGCTCTCACCTCAGTTTTCTACTTTTGGTATTTCTTAGGTGTATTATATGAGTAATTAGATAAAGGAGGTTTTGTTGATTAATAAAAACCTTATTTAGATAAAGTTAGTAGATCACTCATTGTAGAATCTTATTATTTTCTTTTTGTTGAACTATATCTTGTACTATTAAATTTTTGTTATTATTTGTATGAATTAGAATTAATTTATAAAACAGATTTCCTTGGACATACCCATAAATTCCATTCATTTCTATCTATCTTTCCATCATTTAGTAAATCTATTCTATTGAAGATTTATTAAATTTCAATAGAATTTGTAGTTATATATTTTTGTTTGAAATAACTTTGTAGATCTTGATGATAAATGTAATTCTAATAACAAATTTTATCATAATAATTTGAATCAATCTATTATTTATAATTCTCAGCCTGTATAGTTAATTTTATTTCTCTATAATAATTAGTAAAACATATACGCTTCCATTAATTTTGCAAATAAATATTAAGTTCTTTCACTAATGATCATTTAATCTGAAGGTGTTTATTAAGTTATCTTTTCTCTTAAATCTGGATTAGATATAGGTAGAATTGCTCTTAAAAATCTAATATTGTATTTCATAATTACTCAGAATAAACTAATTTGCTATCTTAATTTTAATTATAATTCTCTATGTATGTTTTTGTAGGTAGATTAGATGGAAATTTTCTATCAATTAAATAATAAGACAAATCTTGAGCTGTTAAATACCCCTATTTTATTTATAATAATTACTTTTGGTTCATCTTTCATACAATCAATAAATTTGAATAAGTTATAAGGTTGGAAATAAGGCTCAGAACATAACACTTCTCTTAAAACTTCTAATTCCTGTTCCACATATGCATAATAGAGTAACAAATCAGTTAATTAGTTATCAGACATTTTATTAATAAAAATATTTTTATAGATTATTAAAAAATATATAAAAAGTTTATCAATTAGAATAGATATCATTTGTTTCAAGAAATTTCTACTATATGTTATTCAAATTTAATTCTATGAAATTACAATTAAATTTATGTAAATAGTTATTTTTTCATGTTTTCTATGAAAATCAAAAATTTATGTTAATTGATATAATATTGATATTTAATATTAATTTTTCAATTATGTTATGGTTTAAATTCTTAATTGTTTTAATTTGGAAAAAAAGATATTGTTTTGTTTTGATTGAAAAATTTTTTTTGATCTTATTAGTTCCATAGGTTGCTTTTGGGCAAAAAGTATTAAATTCCTTATTGCGATTAGTACTTATGATTAAGTGTCTAATTTTTATCTAAATTGTTAGATGGCGAATTCTACATTATTTGACGAGGTTAATTTTATTGAAATTAAGGAGGTTCTTTCCTTTAATTAATATTATTATTAAATTAATTTATTGGAAATTTTGGTTTCTAATCTAAGTTAAAATTATTTTAAAAAGAATTTGGTGTTTGATTTACAAACTACTTAGGAAAATTATTATTATAATTCATATTATTTATGGAATTATTTTTTTACATTTATGGGAGCTATTATTAGTTTATATTTGGTATCATATTTAAAAAAAATAAAGGTTACTAATGAAACAATTATTTTTTTGGTGATAATTGATTTTTAAGAGATTAAATTAGATCATCCATTTCTTTTCCCCAATTAATTCTTTTATTAGCATCTAAAATAATCATTTTATTAATTAAAGTTTTTATTGTTTCATCAAGTACAAGATCACTTGGATAACATTTTTCTATAAATTTTTTTTCATTTAATGTTTAAACCAATTATTTTATTTTATTCTCTTATGTATATTTTTATGTTGCCAAATAATAAAAAACAATACCTAGCTAAAATAATCATTTAAAAATAATAACTGAATAAATATCGCATTTATTTGTATATGTACAGGTTCCTTTGACTTCTGGAGCTGCATAAAGGGATGTACCACATTTAGAGCAAGCTTCATCAGCTATACGACTAACTCCAAAATCAGTAATCTATTATAGTAATAAAAATTTCACTTTATACAAGATTTAATTATCAATATTTTTATATAAAATATTTTCTGGTTTAATATCTCTATGAATAATATTCTCTTATTCCAAAATTTAATAGCCCTTATTAATTTATGATGCCAAATCTAATATCTCTAAAGCATCAAACTATTTATATTTTAAAAGATTTTCTAAATTTCCATCACAATTTTCCATGATTATAAGAATATGAGTACTTTCTGGTTCATGCAAAACTTCATGTATTTTCACAATATTAGGATGATCTTTTCCTTTAAATAATCTATTAATCAACAATTCTTATTTGCCATTAAATTCTAAATAATATTCATTATTTTTTTTTGGTTTTTAAATTATTTTAATAAATAATTATTATCCATTTTCTTTTGATATTACTTTTTCATTTGGACCAATACTTTGTTCTAATTTATAAAATAAGTCTTTAATTAAAAGTGACCAAGTTATTCTCTTTTAATGATCATAAACAATCATTCGACATAAGAAGTTTTTTATAGTACTATCAATATTATCTAAATTGAATATATCCTATAAATTCTTGGTTTTTAATTAATTTAAATTTTAAAGTTTTTATTTTGTCACCATTTCAAACAAAATTAATCCAAACTAAAATGTTATTAAGTATTTATTACTGAGTAAATATCTGCATTAAAACTATAATTATGCATACATTATTCAGGAGCTTAATAATAACCCTAACATTAAAGTTTAGTATTTTCATCAATTGGTTAATCTCGATCATCCAATAACTTAGAATACTCAAAACCGCCAATCTAATTTAAATAAAATAATAAATACTTTAAATAAAATATTATTATTATTTTTAATATAATAAATATTTTCTGGTTTTAAATCTCTATGTAGAACACCTTATTCAATAAGTTATTAATAACCTTTTATAATCTATTTCATAAATTAGATGATTTATTAATTATCAAGTTGTTATAAATTACTCTTAAAATAATGTAATAAATTTTAGTTGCAATATTCCATTACAATATAAACATATTTAGTATTATCTTCATAAATATCCAATACATTCACTATATTATCATGTTACTAAGTATAAATTTATTTTAAAATTGACAAATAATCAGACTCAGTTTGACAATATTAATTACACTTCTAAATTTTCTTCAAGGAAAACTAAGTATTATCTTTAATTCTAATTGCAATGGTAGTTTATTTTGTATCATCTGTGAAAAAAGTTTAATCATGAACTAAGTAACTACTTTTCAAATTATGCATTAATAGAATTAACTATCAATAAAAATGTATTAAATTTAATAATAGAAAATAAAATAAAATAAGAAATATTATAATAAAGGAAAATGTGTTAATGATTTATAATATAATAAGATTAAAATATTCAATCAAGCATTAATTATCTGCCTATAGGTAGGGGTGGAACTTTAGAGAGTAAAGTTTTGCTAGTAGGAGTGATTTTTGGGGAATTTTCATCATTATCATTTTAATTATCAAAACTTTCTTAAGACATCATAGGATTTGTGTCAACAGAATTTCTAATCTTTTTAGTAGAATTAGGAATCATTTAAATAGGAATATTATTTTATTAAGAATTAATTTATGAAATTAAACTAGTTGCTTTTGAATTATTAAATTTATTAGATATACTGTTTCCATATCTTTAATTAATCACAACTGAATTCTCTATTTATTTGCTATTATTTTATGATGACTTTTATGATGATTCTTAATTTAAATTTCCATGAGATTAATCAATAGAATAGAATTATTCTGATTAAAATGTGCACATATTATTATTTTCATTAATAGAAGGTTAAGAAAATCTTTTAGATTAAATATTCTTAATATCTTAAAATACATTTCGACTTTATTGAATAGATGATGGTGGTTATTATATTATTTCCTTTTAAATTGATTAAAAATTACTAGCACTACTTTCTTCAGAACTTATTTTATTTGATTTAAATGGACTAAAATATTTATTTATTTATTTTTACTTCTCAAATTAACTAAATAATATTGCATATTTTTATAATTCTAATTTCTTATCATTTAATTCATCTTCTAATCTTTCTATTTCTTTAATTTATTCTTAATTGCATTATAATAGATTTAACATTTCTAATTATTATTATCTAAATTGTAATTAGATATCAAAAGTATAACTCTTATTTTCCTCTCCTATTTTTATTAAAATCTCTTTCAATATATCTTTATGACTCTAATTTATTCTTAGAGCTCCATCTAATCTCTCTCTAATTTCAAGATTATCATGATATTCTAATTTATTCATCTCAGTTATTTCATTTGGAAATTGATGAAATTTTTAATATTATTCTTAAATTATTGAATTTAATTCAGATAATGAATTTTATATCTCAATCTATTCTTGCACATTACAAAATATATCCTAAAAACTATTTTTATTGATTATTACCTCACAAACACGCTCTAGACACTTTTCTTTGTCTTCAAAATTAAAAGATGAACCCATACTTTATCTTACTTATATAAGTTATTGCAATGATTATTAGAGCTCATTTTTTGTGTCTTTAACTAATTGTTGTCGTGCAGCTAAAATTTAGTTCGATTTTTGAATTAGTTTTTCATTGATTGTATCAATTTATTAAGATGTCATTGTGTCAAATTATTCAAGAATATCAGATATTTCTTTCATTCTAGTAATATGACCACATTTATTGCAAACATTTGGTAATCTGATTATTTCTATATATTTAAAGTAATATTACTTATAAGTAGTTCGAATGGGTTACGTAGTTTGATTTAAGTCTAAGACTTGCCTCTAGAGTGTTCTGATTATCTAGTGTCCATCGATACTAATTATTTAAATTTATTTTATTAATTTGAATGTGTTCGTTATATAAATACAAATATTTATAAGTATAGAAGGAAAATAACTAAATATTTTTTATTAAAGTTATATTTTCTAATTGAATCTTATAAAACTATTAATATTTATCAATTAATCTGAAGAAATAATAAACTCTTGCACTTCCAATAAAAGAAGAACTAAGAATTTTTTTGGGTAATAAATTATTATACATTAATATATCAATTTACTAAATTAATAGATTTACTCAATATATAGTTTATTTAATAAATGTTAATCCTAATTAATTACTTTCTAGTAACAGAGGATAATCATTAAATTCAAATACTAATACAATATAAGGAATTCCAGAAAGATAAGCAAAATAATTATAAGGATGAAAATTATGTTAATGGCAAAATATGGTTTTCTTTTTTTTATTAGATATATTAGATTGGTAATTTAGTAACAACAAAAAATAGATGAAGATATAAATTATTATCAATAATCTATTAATTAATTAATTAAAAATGGAAATTAATATTAATGTGGGGACATATGATGGCAAACTCTTAGGTTTTTCATTGGATGATTAATTTTCTTCAAATAATACTCTCTATTCATTTCCAGCCTCCACAGTATATTTACTTTATTATTTGAGTCTTTAATTAAAACAATCTTTTAGAATGGACGCTATTTATTTATTGGAGGTTCTGAAGAGTTGATAAAGGTTTATGATGTTAGAAGGAGAGTTGAAGTCACTTTATTAGAATAACATAATGGAACAATAACTTAGATTACAGGCCATTCGAATTTTCTATTCACATCATCTGAAGATGGAAAAGTGAATTTATGGAGAAATAAATAATGGGCTATTCTTAATACATTTTAATGTGGAAGTCCTGTCATAAACATAGCTATTCATGAATCAGGAAAAATCTTAGCATGTGCAACAAAAGATTAGAAATTACATCTCTATAATTTAATGAATTTGAAAAGGATAGCATTGAAGAAATTTCATTTTAGTATTTATTTTTAATATCTTAGATATTGATAAAATTCATTTTATATCAAAAGAGGATGAAATCCAATATTTATTATTTCAATCTGACAGAAAATGCTATATTGTTGATTGTGAAACAAATAAGGTTACTCACACTATAGATTGTACAGCTTAGATAACAGATTCTATTTTAAATCAAGATTCACTTATTCTTTCAGGTATTATTAATTGATTTATTCTAGATGCAAATGGAATTATTTATATGATAAAATTGACAATAGAAAATTAATTATAAAGTAAGATTATAGTTAAATTTATGGCTCATTAAAAAAGAATTAAGTAATTATAATTATTTGATTTAAATGAATAAACATATTTGGCATCTATTTCATCTGATGGAGATATCAAAATTTGGGATTGTTTATTATATGCAAATGAATAATATGATGATATTGATCTTAAGAATAAATTAAAACCTATTTATACCATTAGAACAACTTAAAGATTAACATGTTTTTGTGTAAGTGTTGTATAAAGAAGATAAGGAGATTAAGAAGAAGAATAAACTTAAGTTTAGAAACCTACTATAGTTCCTATTGCCAAATAAATCAAAAAGCAATTGGTTAATAAGAAATTTAAGTAAATTGATTAGAATGTGAAAACGTAAAAAGTTTAAAAAAAGATTCAAAAGAAAAAACTCAAGGTTTGATTTTTGTGTATAATATTATTAAATTATAAAAAATGAACCCTATATTATAAAGTGTTTTGAATTCTCCTTAATACTCTCGTTCAATTCCAAGAAAAGAATATCAATTTGCAAATATCTATAGAGTACCTACAAAATACAAAGCAATGTCATGGAAACCTTATACTGCAAGAGAAAAATCAGAAGATTATTTGGTTGAATAAACGAGGCCAAAAATAAGGATTAGATTACCGTCATTATAACATTAAGATTCAAGTGTGTCTCATTAATAAATGTTACCTCAAGAATCGGAGAAAGAGAAGAAAATAGAAATTACTACTAAAGTGATGTATTATTTAAGCAGAATGACTGGACCTGAAAATGCTTCAAAGTCTAAGAAATATAGAGAAAAAGAGATTCAATCTCGATTAATGCCAGGAGTGAATTCTTATGATGGACTTTATGATGAAATGTATGAAGAAGATGATAATTGATACTCAAAATTATAATAATTTATATATATAAACTATGGGAGGTCATGGAGGATTGAATATACTTCCTTAAAAAAAGTGGAATGTGTACAATATGGAGAATAGGAATATAGTTGAAAGAGATAAAAGAAAAGAAAGAGAGAGAATTTAAAAGGAATAAAGAAGAGAACATAAAGAATAAGCAGGAAATAGAATATAGAAGCTTAAATAATAAAGAAGAGCTGCTTCTCATACTCCAAGTAGAAGTGTTAGTGAAAGTAATAGCAGAAGTAGAAGTAGAAGTCAAAGCTAAAAGAAATAAGGCTCATCAAAAATAAGTAAGATTTAATTATGATAATTTAGATAATGAATTAAGAGAAATATTGGAGGCAAAATAACATATAAACTTGTTTAAAGAAGAAGAATAATATTTGTTATAGAAAGAAAATAATTAAGCTAAAATAGAATTAGAGAAGGAGTTTTTTAAAGACAAACCATTTGATTTGAGTACTAAATTTTTAGGATAATATGAATAAACAAAACCATGGTATATTTAATAGAGGTAAGATTAACATTAAACTTAATTATAATAAAAGGTTAAGTAATAATTATAACATTTTAAAGAAAAATAAGATAATTATTATCAAATTTTAGATTTAAGTAAAAAATACTAAGAAGAAACTTTGATTTCATAAATTGAGACTAAAAAAGAAGAAGAAACAATTAAGAGAGAAGAATAATAAGATCCAGCTGCTATAAAAGAAGAGAAAAGAAGATAAAAGAAATTACAAAAACTTGGATAATAATTGTAAGAATTATTAGGCAGTGATGATTCAGAATTAGAAAAAAAAAGATAAAAATCAAAATAAAATGAAAGAGAAAAATTAAGAAAAGAAAGATTGTAAAGAGAGAAGGTAGAAAGATCTAGAGAATAAAAGCTTTTATCAACTATTTATGAATTCAAATAAAAATGAAATTTTAATAATTATTTATTATCAATTCATCCATTAATTTTTATTCTAAATAAAAATATAAAATTTCTTGAATATTTTTAGTAAATCAAAGTTTCTTTTTCATAAACTTAAAATATTATCAATAATAATCTTATGATAATAGATATTTTGAAATAAGTGTATTAATTTATAAATAAATTATCATTCTAATTATATATATTTTATTTACATTCTTGTCATAATTTTTACTATATATAATAATAATAATATTTTTTAAAATGTACTAAAATTATGTTATTGATAGATTTATTATTAATTAGATGTTATAATTGATACAAAATATTATTTCAATTTGATGCATTTATAGCTAATGGAACTATAATATAAAGCAGTACGGCTAACACAATAAGACCAATAAGAATTTTTAATTTCATATTCCTCCAATACATAATTTTAGCAAGTTCATGAGACTATTGTTAGAACTGTTTGGATTAATTTTTGAGATTTTCAGCTTTTTCATCTAAATTCTATAAGTAGTTTTGCAAAATATACATCAAGCTATTAACCATTATTTATCATATTATGTATGTTTTCTTCCATAACAATTTGAACCTCTTCAACTTTTTATTATGCTGCATAAACCTAAGAAAGTAAAAGTAAATTTATTACTTTGTCTACTCCAGCTAAATTATCATATTTTTCATGTAGTTATTTCATCCAAATTTTTGCATATTTTTCAATATCATTAGGTTATGCATCAAAATAGTCAGGCATTTTTTTTAATTCTTTTTCTATTTCCTTAAAATGATTATTACTATATCTTACTCTTATCATAGCATTTATTTATCTATCAGGATAACTCTCTGTAGCAAGTACTAATGTAAATACAATTTGTATACACGCATAAGCAATTTTGTTCTCATCAAGTTTATAACGCCAAACTCCATTAGCAGTTTTTAAAGTAACTCTTTCTTCTGCTCTTGGATTTATTTATGACATATGTTCTAATATTATTTGATAATCTTAATCAATCTATATATTTTCAAATTTTAATTTACATTCTTTTTATTATATGACTTGGAGAAGAGTAATTGATGATCACTTACTCTAATAATCAGAACTGCTTTTATAGATGTCATTAATGATAGTTATGTATTTATATATATTATTATAAATATATATAAAATCTAAACATTCTATTTGAATATAATCTATTTTTTTTTAACTGATAAATGCTAAAAATTGAAGAATATGTTTGTAATTTAAAAGAATCTAAGATACTATTCAATGATGCTTTAAGAATTGATACTCATTAGTCATTGGAATCATATGATAATACATAATTGTATTATAATTTAGTATTTACATTAGTTAGAATCCAATCTATAATATTGTACCACCTGAATATTTTTAAAGTGTAACTGAGAATAAGTNGTGTATTAATTTATAAATAAATTATCATTCTAATTATATATATTTTATTTACATTCTTGTCATAATTTTTACTATATATAATAATAATAATATTTTTTAAAATGTACTAAAATTATGTTATTGATAGATTTATTATTAATTAGATGTTATAATTGATACAAAATATTATTTCAATTTGATGCATTTATAGCTAATGGAACTATAATATAAAGCAGTACGGCTAACACAATAAGACCAATAAGAATTTTTAATTTCATATTCCTCCAATACATAATTTTAGCAAGTTCATGAGACTATTGTTAGAACTGTTTGGATTAATTTTTGAGATTTTCAGCTTTTTCATCTAAATTCTATAAGTAGTTTTGCAAAATATACATCAAGCTATTAACCATTATTTATCATATTATGTATGTTTTCTTCCATAACAATTTGAACCTCTTCAACTTTTTATTATGCTGCATAAACCTAAGAAAGTAAAAGTAAATTTATTACTTTGTCTACTCCAGCTAAATTATCATATTTTTCATGTAGTTATTTCATCCAAATTTTTGCATATTTTTCAATATCATTAGGTTATGCATCAAAATAGTCAGGCATTTTTTTTAATTCTTTTTCTATTTCCTTAAAATGATTATTACTATATCTTACTCTTATCATAGCATTTATTTATCTATCAGGATAACTCTCTGTAGCAAGTACTAATGTAAATACAATTTGTATACACGCATAAGCAATTTTGTTCTCATCAAGTTTATAACGCCAAACTCCATTAGCAGTTTTTAAAGTAACTCTTTCTTCTGCTCTTGGATTTATTTATGACATATGTTCTAATATTATTTGATAATCTTAATCAATCTATATATTTTCAAATTTTAATTTACATTCTTTTTATTATATGACTTGGAGAAGAGTAATTGATGATCACTTACTCTAATAATCAGAACTGCTTTTATAGATGTCATTAATGATAGTTATGTATTTATATATATTATTATAAATATATATAAAATCTAAACATTCTATTTGAATATAATCTATTTTTTTTTAACTGATAAATGCTAAAAATTGAAGAATATGTTTGTAATTTAAAAGAATCTAAGATACTATTCAATGATGCTTTAAGAATTGATACTCATTAGTCATTGGAATCATATGATAATACATAATTGTATTATAATTTAGTATTTACATTAGTTAGAATCCAATCTATAATATTGTACCACCTGAATATTTTTAAAGTGTAACTGAGAATAAGTACTCTAATATCTTTAGTTCTTATATTTAATCTCCAAAACATGAAGAACTTAAATCAACAATAAAACAAACACCAAAAAAACGAACTTTTTCATTTTCTGAATCTTAATACTTAAACAAAGATCCTGCATGCAATATTTCAGCTGATTTTGGATAAAATACTTAATTACCAACATAAAGTTAATTGAAATTTTACTCTAAATTTAGTTAAGAGAATAATTTTTAAAATATTGAAACTCCTAATAAAGAGAGATGGTAGTTATAAGATTCAATGTTGGTTTTAAATAACAGCATACCTTAATCAAAATTTAGTTCTCCTTAGAAAAAATATGATAAAGTTCAAAAATTAAAAATTACAAATTATAATTTGGATGCAAAACAAACCTAAACAACTAAAATAACTTAAGTTACTAATATTAGTTTATAAGATAACAATAAAGAATTTGAATAGATCTTTAAGGAATGTTAAAATAATTTTGAAAAGAATAAGGCAAGGAAAACAGAGGAATACATAGCCTGTAACATATAATGAAACAACTTATATGTATATATAAATATTCATAATCAACTTAAAATTTTTAATACCTTTAAAATGATAAAATTACTCATATTTACATTTTCTATAAAATTACATTTAATTTATAATTTATTCTATTTAATCTTCATTTCCTTTGATATCTTAATCATGAGGCAAATTTAAGAATTGATTCATTTTAAATAAAGTTTAAATAGAATTCAATTAGTAGAATTTACTAATTATTTTGAAAAATTAAATGTTTAATATTAATTAAGTCTTAAAATATTTAATAATAAATAGAAAATAATTATAAACAAGATTAGATGATTTTCAAGAGAAATAAGAATATTGACAATAAAAATTGGTTATAATAATATTATTCAAATTACTTAAGATTTTTTATATATAAAATGTTATTAATATAATAATATTAATCTTTTTAATACTTATTAAATAAGATTATTGAAAACTTTGATATGATAGTAAATATAGTGGAATATAACTTTTAAAGAAATTTTATAATAATTTTTATAATATTTATCATGCTTTATAGATATATGTATCTAATTACCCTTCCTATCTTATTAAATATTCTTTTTGAATCAAATTTTCAATGCATTCCTTAAAAAAGGGAATTTCAACTGGAAAATGTCTACTTTTAGCATCTTTATCAATATATTTAAAAAGATCTTTATGATCCAATTATTTCTTTGTCTTTAGAACTCTTACAATCAATGATTCCAAATATACTCTTCTATCTAATACAATTTCTTTTTAATTTATTTAGAATTCTGATTATTTAGTTTTGGATTTAGAACATATAGCCCAAGATTATGTTTTTTTTGGTTAAACCTTAATTTTGTAACTTCGATGTTGAAATTTGTAATTTAACTATAATGAATTTTCTTCTTCATTTTAAATTAATATTTTAAATAAAATAAGATTTTCCAATTCTGATTACATAATCTCTTAATCAGTATTTGTTAATTTAATCAATTAATCAACTTTATATACTCTTTATTTATTGAAATGCATTAATATAGTAGCTTGTAATACAGAACATACAAAATCTTTCTTACAATTTGAATCAAAAGTAGCTTTAAGAGATACAGAACCTAGTCCATAATTAAATGTCAATTTTCTTTTTTAATTTTTACTTTAATAATATTAAGTGAATTATTATTGCCATTAAAATAGTTCTGTATGAACTACAATAGGTTAAGATTCTTCAATTGGCCATTATTCAGATGTAAGAACTAATATGTCTAAATCAATTGTATCTCTTAAATTTGATGACAATTTCTATCTAAACTTTTAACTATCCTCGTTACTTCTTTATAAATCATTAAACATAGTTTCCATCTTATGAGTCAAGACTGAACCACATTCTAATCTTAATTTTTTTAATAAATCCTTTTCTACTTCCAAAGAACTAGATGTTTAATCTAATAATCTAACACATAAATATTTCCTATAAATTTATTCAAATTCATCTTTTGATTATACTAATTTGAATATTAAAAATCCTTTATCAATTTATATTTTTTTTTCTTCATCTCTTAATGTCTCTTTTTTCATTAAAAAATCAAAGTATTTATTTAATTCCATCATTATAAAATTGTCTTTATTAATGACTTACTCAAAAGCATCTAATATTAAAAATATGTGAAATACTTTTAATGGCTTTATGAAATTTATATTGATGTTCATTATTTCCATAACATACAATTTTATCATATAAAGAGAATATTTTTTCATATAATTTAATGAATCCTTAAAGAGTATTATCATTCTAATTCAACAATTATAAATCATC